TATAACATAATAATATAACATAATATAATACTTCACCCTGACAGTACTTTTTTCTCATTTGATAACAATAAAAATGTTTAAATTGGAGAAAAAACACAGCGTTTTTGAAGAAATCTGTTAATACTACCTATATCAACAGGGCTTATAGAGCCATTTCAGCAAGGCTTCATATTTCTCTGTCACTACAGGATTCAATGACCCAAATAGCAGAACAAGAATATTTTGGTGTAATTTACATGAAAGTGTTTGGATTTAGTCATACAAATATCTGGTGGTGACACAACTTAAGTGATATCCACAAGTGGCATGGATTTTAAGTTAAGGCACCCAGTGGTGAGTGTGGGTAAATCTTTTGTGAAGACCTGCCCATAAGCCAACCATAATTCTAACATTTGGATATTACTTTTCAAAGCATGCACTTACGACATGTGCCATTTGTATGGCTTCTCCAATCAATGCAGACCCCTTGGTCTGCACAGATCGCTGCATAGACTTGAAGACTTATGCACTCCATGTTCCTCCCCTGAACAAAGCAGCCATCGAACAAGCAGGCTGCGTAGTAGCTCTCAGGATCAACAGCAGCATGACATTTCTGGAATACACTAGATGAAGAAGAAATACGATAAATACAAGGTACTCAGTGATCTGTAGTTTTTACATCAAATAGATCATTAGGTCAGAAGTTACTGGCTTTCCAACCCTGTGCACCACACTGAAGCCGACTTACTCCACCTCTGCAGCCCATAAAAAGAATATCAACCATCTTTTGTTTTACACCTGGCTGGTCTGGTTACTGCCAAAATTCTGTCAAATTTGCCACCTGTATTTCTTTCAAAATTCAGTAATTATTGCAGTAGTGCTGTGTAGCGTAGGAGAGAGTACTAAGAAGCCCTTCTATATTATAAGCACATCGGCATGCCATGAAGTTCCTGTGTCTTCCTGAAGTGAAAAGGAAGAATCAGCCGAAAGTTTCATCAAATTTGGCAACACAGATAGTGACAGTGGCTATCACATCAGCTTCCAGTATTGTGGTGGCAGGGCGTGTGGAGGGCTGCATGATAGGGCTGTGGGAGCTACACATAGATAATGAGAAATGCATTATCCATCCTGAGTCTAAATATGTGATTGTTCATTTTCACAATTTTCCAGGAAGGACCGTTATCTTCAAAATGATGGTAGATTATCATATGGCAGAATGGTAAATCTTTTTGTTCACATATGGGACTGAAGCTATTTTGACATTCTAGCCAGTATTGCTTTCTGTATCCCAAACTGTAGATACAGTATATAGGAAGTAAATTTGGGGCTGCGAGCCAGCACAAATGAGCATTCGGCAAGATCTTTGGGCTGCTTGTTCAATGCTCACCCAGATTTATATGCCCCTGTCCTCCATGTATTTCATGATCTCTTCCAGACTAAAAAGTAAGTTTTTTCTACACAACATCAGGTTTTGTTTTTACTATGTATAGATATTATATTTTAACTCTAGAGCAAAGGGAAAGATACATGTTGTGCAGTAATTTAGAATTACAAATTTGGAAGCCTCTTAATCCATTCTGATACAGACTTTTTCTAGTGTATCAATCCAGCACATCTATGTGGATTGAGACGATCAAGAATTCAGCTCCATATTTGTCTCTCCAAGCTCCCTCTCCCATCTGTTCATCCAGGTCATAATTACGTAATCTATCTTTTGGCCTCTCAAATGCCCACCATGGGAACAAGCATACAAAAGTTTACTTCATTCTTGGGTAGCCATAGACCAGGTTAATTTATACAACAGTAAGAACAGAATAACAAAATACAATAATTTAGGCATGTACAAAATGCAGCCAGTTAAAATGATAATGTCTTGTAACAAGCCCTCTCAACAGAAAAAAAAGGAATGTTCTGAAGTCCCAGAAAGTCCATGAATCTGTTTTCAAAGATGAAAGAGATCATACAGCATACAAAACATTGTATTCGCTAAGGCTTTCACGGCTGGGATCTAATGGTTGTTGTGGGTTTTTCGTGCTCTTTGGCCATGTTCTGAAGGTTGTTCTTCCTAACGTTTCACCAGTCTCTGTGGCCAGCATCTTCAGACCCACAACAACCATACAAAACATTGTTTGTCAGTGTCAGGATTAGACAGAGAGGGATACAGTGCAATGCAGTAAAAGAAGGACTGTCTTTGGTGGGGAAACCTTGGATTGAAATCCTCACTGAGACGTACATTGTAAAAGATTTTCTCTTCCAAAATTAACAGTTACACATGCCCTGTGTGCTGATTTGAAGGGAAACTATATTTTCTGAAAGGTTAAGATGGTGGTGGGTCATTCACTAACACCTGGTGTTCCAGAGAGGGGAAAGGATTTGAGCAACCAAAGTTGTTAAGTATGCAGTACGCAAGTTAAGTAAACACAAGATAAAAGAACTGTAAAAAAAATTCTAGCCATACATTTTGGGAGACAAACCATTTGCCCCAGAATGAAACATGAAAACATAGAATGAATTTCTAACACAAATCACTTGGAACACCCAGCAATTGCAAGGGAAAGCAAACTTTAAACAATGAGGATAAAGCACAAAACTAAAAAAGAAAAAAAAGAGGAAATAATTGTGATCATATTTTTACCTCGTTAGTATAAGCTCACAGAGCTGAGATGGTTGGCAGGTGCCGTGAGGCTTATCTGTTGTTGTTCCACCAGGTTTAATGTGAGGGCACTGAGGTTTAGAGGGATCATCAACAATCCAGTCATCGGCTGCGATTTCACAGTTACTTGTGTAAGTTCCATTACGGAACATACAATCATCCTCCGTACTGTTGGTGCACGTGCCTAACATTGACAAAAAGCAGAGAAGTTAGTGGATACACAATATGAAGCTAATTACGCTATCCGTACTAACAATACAAGATCTGATGACAAAGTCACACAATTCACAGATGTTTGTTAACGTCCATCTGCTGTTCATTTCTGGTCACATGCCAACACCCTTCATCAGCTTGACCAAGGATCTTCCTTCCATGAATGGAAGGATTCAGCTCATAGAGTTTGCCTCAACAATTGAGAGGACAGGCCTCCACATGTAAGCCATTGCTCGCCCCTTTTAACAGGATTCCCCTACTCTCCATATAGCATTCACAGGGGATTCAAAGGTTTGTCATGGCATAGACCTACAACCATCTAAATCTAGAGCCAACTTCATAAAATGGAGAAAAATAGCTTACATATGCTATTATATTATTATCAGAGTGATAACCGGCTGTGTGAATGCAATCTTGTTGTCTCCATCCCCTACATTGCAAATATTTCCTTTGCTGATTTTCTTTGCAGTATTTCATTTTAGAAAGACAAATAAAATAATCTTTACCGCATTGTCCCTGAGTGTTGTTGCCAAACAGGTGGTAGGGCATTCGAATAGTGAAGGAAATGCCATTGAAGGTTACATTCATATCCAGTCCAGGAATATCCACCACATAGTTTAGGCCTGATTCATAAACTTGCACACCATATTTTTTGAAAGGCACAGCCACTGGCAAGTCATTCACTAACACCTAGTGTTCAAAGGAGGGAAAAGGATATGAGTACATTTTTGAAATAAAAAGGATTTTATTTAAACCGAGATTTTCACCGTAAGACTATGTTAAGTATTATGTACCACCAGTCAGAACTGACATAGGGATCCTAATATGGCCTTCAAGGAAAGTGAGATATTTAAGGAGTGCGTAACCCTAATATGGCCTTCAAGGAAAGTGAGATATTTAAGGAGTGCTTTTACTAGTGTCAAATCCTCTCATGCCACGAGTTTCTATGGCCAAGCTGGGATATGTCTTCTCAGCCATAGTCTGTAACTCTTTCCACAACACCCCACTGAGTATCTTGTAAAACTATTGTGCGCCCTAAAGAAATGGAAACATTTAGTCAGTTGGCTACCTTACTTTTAAAGGTCTAATTTGTCTCTCAGTCTATTGAAACACATATTAAATTGTCCTAATGTAAACATTTTGAATGTAAACATTTTGAATCCCGTCCGGAGATTCGCATGGCCCCTACGCTGGGCATCTTTAAAACTCAACTAAAAACATGGTTGTTTATTCAGGCCTTCCCTCCATCCAACCCTTGATTTCTTTCTTTTTTATTCACTGCTGCTGATTAATATGTATTAAGTTATTATTATGTTTGATTATTATGTTTGACCATTATGTACTGTTAATGTTTTATTGTCTGATTTTATATTGTAAGCCGCCTAGAGTGGCCCGTTGGGCCAAATAGGCAGGGTATAAATCAAATAAACTAAACTAAACTAAACTAAACTTGAAAATATTTAATGAAGCAATCTGTCTTTATCATGGTACCAAGAAATTAGGTTGCAAGTTATATGTTAATAGGGAGCTAGTAAATATAGCCTAAATGTTGAATTGAGACTTGGGAGATCCAGGTTCAAGAGTGCACTGAATGAGAGGGAAACTTGTATTTTGTGAAACAAATGGTGTTTTGTAGTCTAAATGTTGAATTGAGACTTGGGAGATCCAAGTTCAAGTATGCACTGAATGATGAAACTCATTGGGTGACCATGGCCCAGTTGTATCTAGCTTGATCTATCTCATAGCTTATAAGGATAAAGTGGGGATCAAGAGAGCCTTGAAACCATTTGAGGAAAGGTAGAAAATAAATGTTAGTAATGAATGAGTCAGCTATATTGTTTATACAATATCAATGAAATGGAACAAAAGCACATTGAGCAAAAAGTGATTTTGAAACTGATGGTCATTTCTAGAATGTACCAGCTGATAAAATGAACATTCAGGCTCTGATTGAAGTCACATTTGTGGTATAAAGGCCACATGTGTGTACATTTATGTTTAGGTGGCACAGGTGCTGTGATGCAAATCTTCACTCACCTTGTTCTCACAGGTGAGAATCAAAAGTATCAAAATATTTCTCCCTGCTAGGTTAATTTATAATGGTTTGTGTGCATTTTTCACATAAGATTCTTTTCTGTGGGAAAATATATATCTGTTTCTTGGTGAAGCAACCTTGTATTGTTCTCAAATAAGTCATATATTTGCCCAAATAGAGGGGGAAAGTTGTATTTTGTGAAACAAATGGTGTTTTGTGCAAATACAAAGTATTTCCTGCACAATACAAAGCTTTTGGTGCTGGTGGGGTAATTCTACTGAGGATTTTTAAAAATGCTAGTCTTTTATCTCTTCTGCAGAACAGAAAAAGTTTGCAAGAATTTACTTTTTTTCAACAGGTTTTCTTAATGTCTTGAGAAACCATTTTCACTGAGCTGAGAAAATATGTGAATACTTGTTACATCCTTAGATGGATGTGAGTATCATTTAACACATTCTCTCTTTGCCAACTTGATCTGGAATATGAATTCCTGTACTGGAAGATCAATCAGAGCTATTCTAGTGATGCTGGCATATTTCTGCCTTGGGCAAATCCAGAATAGGAAATTGGATGCTACTCTAATTTGAGATATGACTGATGCCAAATACAGTGGACCCTCGACTTACAGACGGCTCGACTTACAGACTTTTCAAGTTATAGACTTCTCTGGCCACAAAATATAGGTTCGACTTGCAGCCTGAGAATCAAACTACAGACCAGAAAAAACCAAAATGGAACAAAAACAGAACAAAAACGGCCAGTTACGGCATTAATTGGTTTTCAATGCATTGTAGGTCAATGGAATCTCAACCTACAGACTTTTCGACCTGCAGCCACTGTTCCAATACAGATTAATTCCGTAAGTAGAGGTTCCACTGTAAAAGGTTGAAAGTGATGATAAGTCTTTTCTCACATGAACTGTAGAGGGAGCTATGACCTAATTGTAGAAGCAGGGTACAATGACATGCCTCTGGCAGCTGAACTGAAAGTGGGAAGCCTAAGGGTACTGACACTAGGGCCTGAAATAATTGCTTAAGCATAGGTTATGAATGTAGCCTACTTGGGAGCAAAAGTCTCCTTGTAAGGTAGGTTATACCTACAATTATGGAAGCAGGAAAGGGAATGGGAAAATATCACTGCTTGGAGGGCTGCCTGCAAGACACAGAAGGAAGGAGAGGCAGAGAAGCAAAGCTCTCCTGAACTGCTCTTAGAGCAAACTTGGGAAAATATAAGAAAGGCTGGACATTTATAAACCTGCTGTGAGGTTGGGCAACCTATGAGAAGCGTGAGAGTATAGAGTAAGGTCTATTAGTATGTACCTGATTAAAAGCTCCCTAGGCTCTCTCTTCCCTTGAAAAGACCCTGATGTTGGGAAAGAGTGAAGGCAAGAGGAGAAGGGGATGACAGAGGACGAGATGGACGGACAGTGTCACCGAAACTAACAACATGAATTTGACAAAACGCCAGGAGCCAGTGGAAGACAGGAGGGCCTGGCGTGCTCTGGTCCATGGGGTCACAAAGAGTCAGACATGAATTAATGAATAAACAACAACAACAGGTTCTCTAATGCACACACTGAGTTTTAGGTTAAATGGTGATATGGCCAGAGCTGTCTCTGACATTACAAAGCATGAACAGGTCACCAGTCACACAAGAAAACACTATTTCTCTGTGTTCTTCACTAATATTAACAGAATATCTCAGAAAATTGTTGTTGAGATAATTATTAGAATCAGTTATAAGGCACTCTGCAGTGCTACATATTCTATAGGAAAAAGATTCTTAACAACCATCACTGAACATCTTCAATACTCATTCAGTATTCCATTGTCCCCAAAGTCTTCGCAGTTGGCCCAATGAGTGCTACAATGGAGACCAATCTACTCATACCTGTAATTTCATAGGAATCAATGTGACCGTTCTCATCTGCACTTCCAAAGTTTCATGTTTTACAATGAGTGTACGTGGACAGGAGACCGGTTCCCGTGGATCACAGTGATAATTATCAATGTACACTCCAAAGTTGTCAATTGTTTTATGGATTTCTTCCACCAAGGTGTAGGTACAATTGCCTTGGTAGCTGTAGTAGTGCCCATCAAATGTCTTATAATGTGGGTCTCCCCAGCCGGTGCAATAGCCTTGAAAAAGACAACAGAATGAGCTGAGTTTTTTGCATGACAGCACATAAAAGATGAATAAAATTCCCCAAGATCTTTCACCTTCTTCATTCTTAATTTTACTGAAATCAGAAGCAACTTTTATGCAGCAGTGATCTCAGTGACATAATAGGGAAGCAAAGAGGCAACACTGTCATCTACTACTTACCTCCCCCCAAAAAAGTGTGCTGTCAACACTACATGCCAATTCCAATGTGTGTATTCATTACATTCACACACATCTATACTTTTCTGAGGGGAGAAACAATGCTCTCGAATGAAGTGAATGGAGAAACTGTGTGTAGATTGCCCACCTCCCATGTTACTTCAGGTATAAAATGGGTGAGAAAGGTGCCTATCCATTCCTCTACCCAGATGAGGAAAAAGTGCTGCCACAGCTAAGGTATAGATCAGGCTACTGGAGTGGCATTTCAAAATTTCTGTTATTGGTGCACTCTAATGATGAATTTCCAAGAATGAAATGCTAGTCAGTCTCCACACTTCTTTAGAACCTGTCTTTTCTCACCTGGAAGCCATGCCTCTAATCTCAGAGATCTAGGTACTGATAGTTTCCTTACTCTGTGAAATAGAAGGGGATTAGGTCATCCATATTTCTGAACACAATATTTTATCATTCCATTCACATGTTCCAGGGCCATGTCCTGAGGCTTAGTCGTGGACTGAACATTTCTCACTTCAAATTCAACATATATGAATGGCAAGAAAAGTCTAACTTAGGCTTTAGGATAACAGTATACTGCGAAGGATGCTCGTGACAACTAGAATGACTTGAACGCTATTTTATTCTTGATCAAAATCCTGTTGCTTAGCATCATAAATCATGCTAGAGTAGGCCCACTGATGATTTGGTGAGTCAACTCCTCTGTATGTTCAGCAACTTAAATGAGCCTACTTTAACTACAACTTACTATGCTACCTGTTAAACATATGATGCTAAAGTAAGTCACAGTTAGAGTAGGCCCATTTGAATCAATTAAATTTATAAAGCAGTTGATTCACTAAATCTCTGTTAATTCAATGGGCCTACTATAGTCCAATTTTACTACACTAAGCAACAGGATTTTGGCCGTTGTTTAATAAGTTCCCTTTGTCAGTAGGCATTGTTCAAGAGGACATCAAAGAGATGTTGTATTTAAACTCACAGTCACATTCCCAGTGCCAGCAACATCCATCATCATTCACCACGCGAACAGGCGTAAGCCCATTGGAGCATGTGGGTTTTGGTGGGGGAACACACTCTACTGGCACTATTATAGACTCATTCCCTGAAATACATATGGCTTGGACGCATTCACATATCCACCACTTTTCTCCTGGCTGCATTTTGAAAAAACAAAAACAAAACAGAGACAATATGTTTCACAGAAGAACAACATTCATGTCAAAACAAGTATTAATGTACTGGAAGAGTAACTGTCCGAATCTTCATTCAACACATGACCTTTACATCCAAATTAACTTCTGTTTACTGAAACAGGGACGTGGTGGCGCTGTGGGCTAAACCGCAGAAGCCTGTGCTGCAGGGTCAGAAGACCAAGCAGTCGTAAGATCGAATCCACGCGACGGAGTGAGCGCCCGTCGCTTGTCCCAGTTTCCGCCAACCTAGCGGTTCGAAAGCATGCAAATGCAAGTAGATAAATAGGGACCACCTCGGTGGGAAGGTAACAGTGTTCCGTGTCTAAGTTGCACTGGCCATGTGACCACGGAACATTGTCTTCGGACAAAACGCTGGCTCTATGGCTTGGAAACGGGGATGAGCACTGCCCCCTAGAGTCGAACACGACTGGACAAAAAAAATTGTCAAGGGGAACCTTTACCTTTACCTTTACCTTTACCTTACTGAAATAGTGAATGACTGAAGACTATACCCAGTGATGCCCTGTCTCACTTTAACCACATCACAATGGTATATGCATCCTCATGCCACTAGGTTTTTTAAATACATAAATCAAACACTCAACACAGTAGGGGATTTTAGATGGCTTTAGGTATGATTCAAAGAGGGCCAAATTAACTTGAGTCAAGTGAGGTTAGCCCAATATCTGAAGGTACTTTCCCCCTAAGAGTAACACCACTTGGTCTTGGAAACCATAATGCAGCCTTCTTTAATATGGCTCCCATGCCAGCGGGGAATGATAGGAGCTATAGACCAACACACTTGGGGGGGGGGGAGAGAAATGGTTCGCTTAGGAAATTGGAATCTATATGCATTCAGTTCCCAATATTCTGTTCCTGGCTGTTAGATCTATTTACGTAAAGAAAGCAGTATCACATGTAGCTTTAAGTACAATTTTCCAATATATTTTTGGAGGTCTAACAAGCTCGTCATATGTAAATGAAATCAGCAGCATTTATTTTACAATCCAAAATCCAACAAATTAAATAATATACAGTATATATCTTTCACTTGAAAAGAGTGAAATATGATTGGGATCCTCTCTTTTCAGGCTGGTAGGTTACATAAAGGCCGACAGCACTGGAAACTCACACCTTTCAAATGGAAGAAAATGAACAAAACTAATTCTGATGAGTGGTTTGGGGACTCAGCACTCACTGAAACTCACTGACAAATAACACAACCATAATGGACATATCTTCCCCCTTCCACAGCTCTTGATTCAATTCTGAATGTTTTTAAATGTGAAGATGTCTGGCATGTAGCTTAAGGTTTGATAATGAGAGACTGAAAAATAATTTAAAGAAAACATTCCAAATTAATTAAAATGCTAATTAAAAAAATAAAGTTACTAACCTGAACAGTCCCATTTAAACATGGTGGGGGTGTACTAGATGGTGTGCTAGTGATTGTAGGAGTTGCTGTTGAAGAGCTTGTTGTACTAACTGGTGTTGTGGTGCTGCTTAAGGATGTACTAGATGCTGTAGGTGTAGTTGTAGGCACTGTTATGGTTGTGGTTGTGACTGTTGTAGTTGTAGTTGGACAAAACCAAAAGAAATACTCCACTTCACACCAGTATGAGCAATTTGCAAGGAAGCACCGATCACCATGAGCTTCAGTCTTTATTGTTTCACCTACATTTGAATACAAAGTGAAGATAAATTGTTACTGAAAGCATGGACTAACTCGTTTATACAAATATACACAACAAAGACAACAATGGGTTGCCCATCCTGAGTGAAACCTTTTTAAATGGCTTCAGATTAAGCCTGGTGAAACTAACTGCTAGAATTCTGCTGAATAATGTGCAGATGGGAAAGGCTAAAATTTGTGACACCAATATAAACATCATGTTGGATTTCAGCCTTATGATCTAATGCACTGTCATTTGCACATTATTTACTGTATGCCAAGTATTCTATGGAATGTTCAGAAGATAAGGATGAACATCAATTTTAAGAATTTCACTTGATATGTTGGCAATTGCTTATATTGCCTGAACTGAGCATTTGCATGTAATATATCTAGGGTCCTTACTTTATATTTTAATTATTTCTAAGACAACACCATCTTCTAAGCTTCAGAAATATCATTGAAGAAAAACAATTTAAGTCCAAAAGGACAATAGCATTGTGTAAAATATGTCTAGTAAAATACTGTATTTTTCGCACCATAAGACGCACTTTTCCCCCACAAAACAGGGGGGTGGAAAGTCTGTGCATCTTATGGAGCGAAGAAAACAGATTATATTTTCCTGGTTTCTTCTCCTAAAAAATTGGTGCATCTTATGGAGCGAAAAATACGGGTATATGGCAGTATTATCAGGAAAAAACTAAAATAATCTTCACTATGATACTTACCTGGCAGATATATTTGACCATCCATTTCACAGTGGCAGTGCGTTGTTGAGGTGGTTGCGGGTGAAGTCTCAGTTGTAGTTGATGGAGTGGTTGTAGTAGTTCTAGTGGTTGTAGAGGTGGTTGTAGATGTCTCAGTAGGGGTAGATGTTGACACTGTTGTGGTTGTTGTGGGGGTTTCTGTGGTGGTGGTGGTGGGTGATCGAGTTGATGTAGTTGTAGAGGTGGTTGTGGGTGAAGTCTCAGTTGTGGTTGATGGAGTGGTTGTAGTAGTGCTAGTGGTGGTAGAGGTGGTTGTAGATGTCTCAGTAGGGGTAGATGTTGACACCGTTGTGGTTGTTGTGGGGGTTTGTGTGGTGGTGGTGGGTGATTGAGTTGATGTAGTTGTAGAGGTGGTTGTGGGTGAAGTCTCAGTTGTGGTTGATGGAGTGGTTGTAGTAGTGCTAGTGGTGGTAGAGGTGGTTGTAGGTGTCTCTGTAGAGCAGGCATGGGAAACATTAATTAGAAGGATATTATGCCAGTTTGCATAAAAATCATCACATTATTCATCACTTAAGAGTACAGTTGTATCCAGAGGCAATTCCCAACATGCTCCTTGGGGCTTGCATCTCAAAACACTGCATTAGGCAGATGGAATCCTTTGTACACTTACCTGGGAGAATTACACAACACTAATTAGACAACATCTTGCTATAAGTGTACTTAGCTGAATAGCTTTCAATTTTTTGCCCCTAATTTAATTTCATATGCCCTTAACCATAAATGGTAACAAAAGCATAAAGGCAACTCATAAAACGTTACTTAAGGCAGGGTTCTATTTTCCAGCCAGCCAGCTGAACTTAAAGCTACTCAAGATGGCACCATGACCTACTAATTATATTTAACAGACCAGATGGGCGGGAGATAAATCAAATAAATAAATAAATAAATTATGCAAGTCATGTTAAAATGGGAGAGTTTATAATTTATTCCTTTCTGGCTTTTGGCTCATAATCAGTGAGTCATGCAACTTCATTTCTTAAATTCATGTATTTATTTAAAAATACAGTAGTTATAAAGAAGTCACCTTTCAGAAGAAGCTGTCCCTATGGTTCTTCCTCAACTCTAGTTGTGTGAAACCAGACATCCGTGACAATCAGTGTTCTCAACTGGGCTTGTGTGTCCCATTTCTATTAAAAAAATGTTTCTAACCAGCTGAGGGTTGTCCTGTTGCACAATTAAGTGTTCATTTATGTATGCAACAGGATCAGTTCATGGAGAATAGTTCTACCCAGAAATCTCCTATGGCAGATAAGGAATAATTTCCTTTCCCTACTTCTGTTTTCTTCTAAAAGCTGACTAAAAAGAAAAAAATACTTAAGATACATAGCCATGATTTCATAGACAGCAAATCATCCATCAGGCAGCATCTCAAACTAGGGATGTGAAGATCTCTTGAGTCTTGGTTTCTCTGCATTTTTCTCAAGTTCACCTGTATTAGCATGTTTCATAACAAATTTTGAGAGTGTTCTTGCTTCTTTTCTGGAAATGCATGTGTGTTTTGACATGTATTTTTCTTTACATGTGCACTTTTTTGACACTTTTCGTAATGTGAGCATCCTCATGCATTTCTCCATTGTCCAAACTGCATTCATTTCGATTTCTCAAAAATATTTGCATATAATTTGAAAATATGAACAGGAATAAAAATTCTTTTTAACACCCATGGTTTCCTACTGGTGGCAGGAAACCACAGTTCACATTAATAGTTCCACGTATCATGAATTAGGTAAATTCATTAAAAAATCTTGATTAAAGCTAATTTATTTTCTCTCCTAGCTCAGCTTGAAACCTATCCTTAAAATAGGATAGCCTGTAATTCTGTGATTTCTTGGAAGCTTAGAATAATATTATTTAGACTAACACTACTTTGATGCACAGATTAATGTTACTTCTACAAAGGAAGGCAGAAATGAAGTTGAAAAGATGTATTGTTTTAAAATTAAGAAAATCTAAATCTTTTTAACTATTAAAGACAGATATTTTGGGAGAGACAGGATTAAAACTAGAGCATTTGCCATGTCCATGTTTGATGAGACAATATTTTATTGCTACTGTTTCAAAGGACATGTATGTTTTAGCAATTTTCTAGCAGCATACATGTTTTGAACACATGATGAGAGAAATGGCACACCAAAAATTGCTCTGTGTTGCTCCAGAAATGATACTGCAATCGAATTTTTGCATAAAAAGGTATATAAATTATACTGACCTGTAGTAGACCATGTTTCTGTTTCCTCGGTGGTGCATGGTACTGTTGTTGTTGTCATTGCCGTAGTCGTCGTTGGTGTAGTCTTCGTTGTATTACTAGTACTAGTAGAAATTGTAGTACTTGCTGATGTTGTGAAACATTGATCAAAGCAGCAATAGATGCTAATTTCATAGTCCAGACAACTTGGTGCCACACTTTCTGAGGTTTGATCTTTGTTTAAGCACAACAGTCCTGAGTTTACATCACACACCAGTGTCTGTTGCAGTTCCCTCAAGGGGACATAAGGAAAATCTTTTGCTCTGCACGAAATATTTAACGGCTGTGAGCAGACAGATATGCCATGCTCTCTGATATTCACATATGTTTCATTATCACCTCCAGTCTTATCCTCATAAGATGGTTTACTCACACTAATCCAATTAGACCACTCGCACATGCAGGGAGCTGCAAGGTAGAAAAAGGAAAGTCAGCTTTAGAGAAACCAATGGAATGTAGGAATTATAGAACACTTGTGCTGCGTATTGACTCAGTAAAAGTCTAAAGCAAAAACATTCAAACAAGTGGACTAAAGTGCTTCAAACCTAGTTAGCTTTTATGTCAGTTATTAATATTTTGAATCTTCAATATATCTTGCTTACAGAGTTAGAAGTTGTTTGAGCAAATTCATCTTAATATTCAGAATACTTTTTTACAGAAAACCTGAACGAAATGTATAAGAATATTTGTTACAGAAATCTAAAATGGACAAATCATGCCTGTTCACAAGAAATTGTTTTTATTTTAAATATGGCATCGTTGATTTTAAACTTTTGAATAGAATTCCAATGTTTAAAAGGAAAGGTGGACTGAGGGGAGTCGGAACAATAGTACAAATATTTTAGTCATACAGATATAAAACCATCCATGTTTCTGTAACAGAATTACTTACTTGTACTGCCGCCTGTTGTTACTGTTTAAAAAAATGAAGAAGGAAAAACAAAGGATAACTGTTATTGCATGCTCATTTCATCTGAAGAAACAACAGAAATACTTGCAGTGACATCTAAACTGATCCCTATAATCTTTCTTCAAATAATTCTTCCATTTCTTAGAGTCCTTGAACACGTCAGATATTTTGTCATTCAGCACTCAAGATTCCTCCTGTATTGTCAGCTCTGAGAACTATGTAAATTGTTGGGAATGGGTCAGGCTGAAGGTGCATACGATGGGGCAAGGGAACTTCAAAAACATTTTTCTTCTGTTAATTACACAATATAGGGTGTATTCATCCAATGTACATCCAAGAGTTGACACAACCCAAGTGGATAGGCCTTAGTTAGGCATCAGAATTATTGGGAACCTGATGTGGGTGCGCATACTTTTCATATCATAGAACTCATTGGGGAAAAAACATGCTCACAAAGATAAACAAAATGTCTAAATAAAGCAAACAAATATGTGATCACAAGGGGCAAAGGTACAGATGTTACAAGAAAGTAAAACTACAGCAAAAGGGGAGGCGCAGACAATTAATGACCTAATAGGATCCTAGCAATGATACATATTTTATATCGCTCAAGATTCCTAGAAGCAAATAGTGACCTTAACTGCCAATGAAATAAAATACAAAAATACACATACCTAGGTGGCTTTAATTACAATAAAAACATAGTAATTATGCTCCTCTTTTATGACTTATGTGTATTAGTTTGGTTTGGTGCATCTCTTTGAAGAATAATTAGTAAGTCAATCAATATATAAATATATTTCATGTGTTTATGAGAGATTTACATACAAAGGCATAGCAATATCAAAAAGTACTTGTTTATTAATTACCTGATGTGGTGGATGATGGTGTCGAAGTAGTAGGAGTAGTAGTGGTTGTAGTAGTTGATGGTGTGGAGGTAGTGGTAGGAGTTGT